GGGGGGGGGGGGGGCAATACCGTTTTGTGCGGCCGGCCCCTGCGCCCATCGTCGGCCTTTGCCCTTGGGAAAACACCGCACGCGCCCGGGGATCTTGCCCGGTCGGCCCGGCCGCCGGTGATCCAAGGGCCCGGGGCCCAGCACATGCGCCGCACGCCGGGCCCATCCCACAGGGACAAAAAAAAGGGGCCGGGCGGGAGAAGGCACCACGGCACCGGCGCAGATCTTAATCCCCGGGGCAGCTGAATTCGCACCGCCCGGGCGGGCCCCGTCTACCTCGCAGGGGATGCGCCTCCCCCCCCCCCCCCGGCCCCGGCCCCGGCCCCGAAATGCACCATCATCCGCAGGGAGAAGAAATGCCGGGCCGCATGCTTTGCGGCCCTTTACGCCAGCGGCCCGGCGGCCCGGTGGCCCGGCGGCCGGCCCATTTTAAATGCCCCCCCCCCCCCTGCCCCCGCCCGCCGTGGGCATGCCTCCCCCCCCCCAGGCCGTGGGTGGACGGCCCCCCCCCCCCACCCCAGGGAGTACGCCGGCCTCCGAGCGGCTCGTACACACACACGCACACGCACACACGCACGCACACATCATACACATGGGGGGAGGGGGGCTGGGGCAACCGCAACACCACCCCTGAGCCGCTCCCCGGCCAAGGGTCCCCCGAGCCCGACCACACCCAGGTCGGAGGGCCTTCATTCTCATGCCCGGCTCTCAGGCGCCAGCCGGCCAACGCGGCACACACACGTACACACACACACACACACACACACACGAGGGCCCGGGGCAGGGGGGGCTGGCAGACGGGAGCCTCCCCACGACTGGGGCACACAACACTGCCGGAAGGTGCCCAACCCGTCGCCCTGCTGCAATCTTCGCTCCCGCCCCCCGGGGTGCGATGGGGGGGGGGGGGGGAGGGCGGGGCCTTCGACGTCCCCGGCCCAAAATGGCCAACCCCGGCGATGCGTCATCTGTCGGTCTCTCGCTGGTCGGCCCTCCTCTGCACCGGAGTGGTGTGCGCGGGCACACGCGCGCGGCGCGGCCCGCCGTCCGCCCGGCCCGGCATACAGCGCGGCCCCCCC